TGTGTGTGTGTGTGTAGGGACCCTGCAGGTGAGGTTGGAGGTGAGCTGATGCTGGGAGGCTTTGACCAGCAGTATTTTGACGGTGATCTGCATTACGTCAACGTCACACGAAAAGCCTACTGGCAGATAAAGATGGATGAGTATGTGATCACTATTGCTATACAAGCCCTGTTTCAACAGCCAAGACTGTGACATTTAGACGGATATACTTGATTGATTTTTGAGTTTTTATATTGGTTGGAAACTGCGACAAATCCTATTTGTAATGATGATGTATTGCATATATTGGTCATTTTCCTACAGAGTTCAGGTGGGTGGCACTCTTACCCTCTGCAAAAACGGATGCCAGGCAATTGTTGACACTGGAACATCAATGATCACAGGGCCGGTTCAAGAGGTGCGGGCCCTGCAGAAAGCCATCGGAGCCATACCACTGCTGATGGGAGAGGTGAGGAGCATTCCAGCTAAAATATCGTCATCAAAATGTATACGTTGAATAATTTATCATTTTTATTTATTCTTTATTGATTTATTTTATTTTAATTTATTTCCTTGGTCCACTTCAATTTGTTGATACTTTCATCGCCATTTATTTCCAGCATAAAGTGAGTCATGATGTGAATATTTTGATGCGTTTCCTCCTTTTTAGTACTGGATTGACTGTAAGAGGATTCCATCACTTCCTGTTGTTTCCTTCAGCCTGGGAGGGAAGATGTTTAACTTAACTGGAGAGAACTATGTTTTGAAGGTGCGTCCCCCTCTTTACAGAATCTGGTGGGGTTTATATAGAGGTAGGAAAGGGACATTATAGAGGAACTTAGAATGTTCCTCTATACCTTACAATCTTATTTAGAAGTGCAGCTCCTTGGAATAAATAACCAGAGTCCTTGAAGTGAAAAATTATGTTTTAAAATGGCTAAAAAATAGCTTTTTTGGTATGTGAAGTCATCTTTTTGAATTGGTCAGTTGCTCAATTTGTTGTATGGTATGTGATTGTTTGAATAAATAGAATTTATACATTGTGTAATGGGTTTGGGATAGGTTTTCTTCACCTTCATACATGCCTCCAATTATTTTAAAGAATAGTTTACCAAAAAATTTAAGTCTGCTTTAAAAAAGGAAAGGAAAAATAGGATCCTCTGCAATGAATGGGTGCCAAACAGCTGATAAAAACATTGCAGTACTCCACAAGTAATCCACACAACTCCAGCCCATCAGTTAATGTGTTGTGAAGTGAAAAGATGCATGTTTAAAGTCCATGTTAGATTTGTGACTTATAAACATGCAGCTTTTCACTTCACAAGACATTAACTGGTGGACTAGAGTGGTGTGGATTATTGTGATGTTTTTATCAGCTGTT